TCCCCCTCCTCCCCCTCCTCCCCCTCCTCATCCGCCGCCCGCGCCGCCGCCGCCCTCTCCGCCCGACGCGCCGCCACTCCCTCCTCCGGTGCGCTGCGCCGCGGGCGAGGCGCCGTCGCCGCACGGCGCTTCGGGGAAGGAGGCGGGCGCCGCCGCGAGCGCCTCAGCCACCGCCTCTGCGCCAGCGCTGCCGAGCTGGTGTTGGCCTGCCGCCAGGTGAGGCCCCGAGCCATGCTGCCCGGCGGCGTAGGCGTCGGCGCCTCGGCTCGCGAGCCTACGTGCTGAGGACGCCAGCCTCAGGGCGGGAGGACGGGACTGTGCAGCGTGCTCAGAGCACCGCGTGAGTCCAACGGAGAAGAGGACAGTGAACACCGTGGAATGCGGGGGAAGACGGCGGAGTGCGTGTCCTCTCGGGCGCTGGTTGGGAGACATGAGTACACGTCTTCCGCTTCTGGGTTAGGGAGCCGCGCGCGCAGAAAGGAGCGGAGGCCCTTCGAGAGGCCGTGGCGCGAGAGCGACGGCGTCGGCGGCGCCGGCCGCGCCGGCTCTCGAGGTCTCGACGGCTCGTCGTGCGCGCTCGTCGGCGGCGACTCTGCGCTCGCTCCAGACGGCCCCCTCTCTGCGGGCGGCGGCCTGTCCTTTTGCTTCTTCGCGGCGGGCCCGCCGCCCTTTGGCGCGGGCGCGCGTCCCTTTGGCGGGGGAGGGCCGCACGCCGGCCTCCGCACCTGCAGGAGAGGGGCGGGGACGCGTCCGGGGGACGGCGGCAGGCTGTGTCGGGGGTCGTGTGTCGGGGATGTGTGCGTGTGCATGTCGTGTCGGGGGCGTGTCGGGGGATGCGAGGGGAGATGTGGCATCCATCGCTCGGCCGGTGCGAGATCTGGGGAGATGCGGGGAGATGAGGGGAGATGAGGGGATGCGATTCGGAGGGGGCACGCGGGGCCGCCGTGGCGGTGCAAGCGGTGGTGTGGTGGTGAGAGTGGTGGGGGTGGTGGGGGCTGGCGTGATGAGAGGGATATGGTTGGGGTGGTGGCGGTGGAGGAGGTGGCGGTGGAGGAGGTGTGTTGTGTGCGTGGAGAAGGCTCGCGGGGAGGAATTCCTTCATTCATTAATTATTAATTCCAGAGGGCTCGCGGGGTCGCCGCACCGAGCCGTCGGCGCCGCGGGAGGAGATGCCCTGGAAGTAGGTTGCGTTCGGGAGGCCGAGCGTGCTGAGCGAGCTCGCCGCCACCTCCAGCTCTCTCATGCTCATCCCTCGCACCCGCCGCACGGCGGCATCAAACTGCGAGAGCAGCGGCGCGTTGGCGGCGGCGTGGGCGATGAGGGAGGCCTTCGGGTGCCACGAGGCGGTGGTCACGTGCGCCGCGCCCCACACCACCAGGTACGACGTCGCGCCCCCCTCGTGCACGCGCCGCGACAGCACGCGCGTCACGACGCGGCTGCCGTTTGCCTCGTAGAGGTCGACGCGCACATCGCCGCCGGCGGGCATCCGGTCGACGGGCTTGCGGCTGCGCTTGCCGTCGAGCGCGCGGATCATCGCCGGCTCCGCCGCCCGCCCCTCCTCGAACGACGCCGCGCCGCCCATCGGAGGCCCCTTTCCCGACGACGGCCCGGGCGAGATGCGGGACGGGCCAAAGGAGGGCTTGTAGAGCTCGGTCGGCTTGGCCACGTCCACGCGGAGTCGGTACTTCTTCGGCTCGGAGTCGGGCATCTGCGTTTATTTAGGGGCCTCGCGGCGTGGAGGGCTTGACCGCAACCCCCCGCGCCAGCCCCCGCCGCGCTGTCCCCAGCTCCAGAAAAAGAATTAACGCCGTGCATGGTCTAGCGGCCGCGGCGGCGGGCGAAAAGGCGGTCCTGGCGGAGCTTAGGGCGATAGGTCTGTCGCTCGCGGTCAGCACTGGCGTTGCGTTCTCAGGCCGGTGCAGCCAGCTCCAACGCATAAAAAGAATACCAGATTTATACCGGTAGGGAGGCTTGCCGAATACAAAGTGGATCCGCCCTCCCGCCCGCCCGCCCGCCCGCCCGCCCGCCCCGCAATAAGCGCAGATGTCCTCTTCAGCCTGCCGAGAGCTTCCTGGCCCGCGCGCGCGCTCCGCCTGGCGTGCGGAGCGACTCGGTGGACGTCCGAGCCCGCCGCCCCTCGCCACTGCTCCCTGCTGGCCCATTCAGCGCGACACCGCTCCCCGCGGCGCCAGGGCCGGGACCCCACCATACCCTACCCCCCAGAAACCTCGAATCCAGGCTCATTCAGACCGACAAACAAACGGAGTGTCAAGCCGTGCTAGAGGAGGTCCGGGGCATGGGGAGGGAGCAGCTAGTCCACGAATACCGCCGCCTCTGCATCACCGGTTTCCGTCTGACCACGGGCAGATGTGGCTCGCCGTGTAGATCAGGCAAAGCAAAAAGAATTGTACAGAGAGAGAGAGAAGAATTTAAACAAAACAACTCTCTCTCAAGAGAGAAGAAATGTACACACAATCAGATGGCCGCAAGTTTTTTTGAGTACCCCCAGTATCGTAGTCTTTGTCCCAAAGCAGAAAAGAATTTTGAATTCCGCAGTCCAAGTGCTCCAAGTGCTCCCATCCCTCAATGGAACAAGAAGAAGAAGAAGAACCGCGGAACAGAAAACGAAGAACACAGCGCTCACACAGCGGTGGGGTGCGACGATTTTGTTTGGTTTTTTACTAATACGAGAGGCACACCGCGGGCCGAATTTTGATGGACGGACCGTGCACAACACGCTCCAGCGGGCGCGTCGTCCCTCACCGACACACCTCCAACATCCTATCTGGGACTCCACTCGGATCCGGACCCGCGCATCTCACAACACAACCATGGCGCGAGCGGTGCCTGCTCGTCGTCGCTCGTCCCGGCCGCTCACCCCACACAAGTGCGAGAAGCTTCTACGCGTGCTCGCAGCTGGGCGTGCACGCAGCAGCAGCAGCCATTCTCCAACAGCTCGACAGCGGACGGCGGCGGTACGACCCGGCGTCGTGCAACCTCTCTCAGGAAGTGGACGACCCCATAGCCATACACACTCGGAGGGTCTTAGAGCATGCGTCGGTGCTTGTGCCTTGTCGTCGCCCCCCCCCCCCCCCACCCTGCAAGGGAAATCGAGACCTCATCAAGAAATCGCACCCCCCCCCCCCTTGGGGGGTGAGGATTTTCCTTGCATGGATTTCGCGTGTGCCGCGTCGCGACCTCATATTTCACCCATTCTAGGATCCTTTAAATTCTAGGACCCATTGCGGAGGCCCCCTCACTTCGATATCGATTTTACCCCTTGTAAAGCCGTACGCGAGGACGGAGGAGGGCGTGGGCGAGGATGACGTGTCTTCGGATAAGCGGCCAGCTTCCCACTTAGGGCAGGGAACCCCCGGCGACGCAAGTGTGGCCGACGGTAGCCACAGCTAGGGCGCGATATTGGGGCTGGGGGGAGAGGGGCGCCCGCCGCCCCGCCGCGCGCGCGCCAAGGGGGAGAGAAGGGGGGGGGGGGGAGACTAGGCGTGCCCGTTTTTCTTCGAAGCAATTTTTTCCATCCATACCGCGTTGGTGTCCAGTCCGAGCCTGACACTGTTCTTCACTTTCCTACCTAACCTAACCTAAGGACCTAACGTAAGTGCCAGTGGTGCGCGCGCCAGTCCCGAGAGAGATTTTTAGCAATTTGTTTTGCCAGTACCGTGCCAAGTGTTGTGCGAGGGAGTTGCGTCGTAAATTTCTTCTCCCGCCGAAGCGCCGTGCCCAGCAGAGTGTTTTGTTTGTAGTGTTTTAGGTAGGTAGAGTGTTTTGTGAGAGCGGGAAAATGTAAATTCTTTTTCCACGCACCGCATCCCCGCAAAATCAAAAAAATTAGGAAAAAACCAAAACTTAGTTCATGTCAACGGTTGACATCTCAGCGTTCACACTCCGAGGTCAGGCTCAGCCCTCGGCTCAGAGATCAGAGTCGCACGCACGTATGGCAGACGGGATGGAGGCTCTTGACGTCCCCATCATCACTGCTGCGCCGACCCACGTGTACAGGGCCACAAACAGCGTCTAAGTTGACGGGTTGGAGGGAATCCCCGCCCGTGCCGGGAACAGTTCGTCCGAGTCATGCGGGAGCCAGGTGTCCCAGCTCGCGTCAAATCCGAGGAAGCGCACCTTCGCCTTGCGTGCGCGGACCGCGATCACCTTGGCTTCCCACCTAGCAGTGGGGTGGCCTGGCGGCGCCCATGCCACCTCCACCGCCTCACCCTTGGTCCGCTTCGTCGAGCGCCACAATGCGGAGGGCCGCTCCTCGTAAGGGCGCAGCTGCGTGAGTGGCCTCCACTCGTCTTCACCCTCGTCCTCGTACCCGCGATAGCGCACGAGCACCAGCCCGTTGGCGGCGCTGAACGCCAGCGCGTCGGCCTGCCACCACGCGTGGCGCATCTCGTCCGCATTGTCGAGCTTGTTGTCGTCCGCCCACCCCTTGGCCTCGAGCCCGTCGCGCCCGCCGAGTAATGCGCGGTAGAGTGCCTGCCAGTCGCGCTGAACACCGGGCAGGGCACCCTGGAGGCGAACCCGGCGGCTGAGCGCAGAGCACCAGAGCTGAGCGCGGTGCCGCATGTACACCTCCAAGAGCGCAGCGCAGGCGGCGGCGCACGCCACGAAGCTGGCCGGCGGTGCGCTGGCTGCGAGGTGCTCGAGCACGAGGGCGTGTATCTCGGCGGGCAGACCCATCAGCCGCTGCACGCGCCGTCCGTGGATGAGCTTGTGCCTGGGCCGCGTCCTTGACGCCGTCGCTGGTTGTGCCTCTCTACTCCCTTCTACGGCTGCATTCGACATCTCGACCGCCTGGCGTCCCGCGTACTCGTCCTCCGCTGCATCGGTCGCAGCCGATGCCTCCGCGCCAAAATGGCGCGCGTACAGCAGCGCACCCTCCTGCGCCGTCGCGGTGCAGCCAATATGCTGCTTTCTCCCATCAACCCTGCGGCTCACCGCAAAGCCGTTGCCATTCGAGTTTGCGTACACGCCTTCGAACCCGGTGCTGGCGCGCGACGAGCGCACCAGTGTCAAACCCTCTGCCGCCGCTGCCTGCTCCGCCTCCGCCGCCCCTGCCGCCGCTGCCGCCGCTGCCGCCGCTGCCGCCGCTGCCGCCGCTGCCGCCGCTGCCGCCGCTGCTGCGGACGCCTCCGTTCCCAGCTCGCGCGCGTACAGCAGCGCTCCCTCCTCCGCCGTCGCGGTGGAGCCAATATGCTGCATTCTACCATCAACCCTGCGGCTCACCGCAAAGCCGATGCGTTTCGATTTTGCGCACACGCCTTCGAACCCGGTGCTGGCGCGCGACGAGCGCACCAGTGTCAAGCCCTCTGCCGTCGCTGCCTGCTCCGCCTCCGCCGCCGTCATAGGCTCGGCCGCCGCCCCTGCCGCCGCTGCTGCGGACGCCTCCGTTCCCAGCTTGCGCGCGTACAGCAGCGCTCCCTCCTCCGCCGTCGCGGTGCAGCCAACGTACTGCGTTCTACCATCAACCCTGCGCTTCACCTTAAAGCCTCTCCCCTTCGACGTTGCGTACACGCCTTCGAACCCGGTGCTGGAGCGCGACGAGCGCACCAGTGTCAAGCCCTCTGCCGTCGCTGCCTGCTCCGCCTCCGCCGCCGTCATAGACTCGGCCGCCGCCGCTGCCGCCGCTGCTGCGGACGCCTCCGTTCCCAGCTTGCGCGCGTAAAGCAGCGCACCCTCCTCCGCCGTCGCGGTGCAGCCAATATGCTGCTTTCTCCCATCAACCTTGCGGCTCACCGCAAAGCCGTTGCCTTTCGAGTGTGCGCACACGCCTTCGAACCCGCTTCTGGAGCGCGACGAGCGCACCAGTGTCAAGCCCTCTGCCGTCGCTGCCTGCTCCGCCTCCGCCGCCGTCATAGACTCGGCCGCCGCCGCTGCCGCCGCTGCCGCCGCTGCCGCCGCTGCCGCCGCTGCTGCTGACGCCTCCGCTCCCAGCTTGCGCGCGTACAGCAGCGCTCCCTCCTCCGCCGTCGCGGTGCAGCCAATGTGCTGCGTTCTACCATCAAGCTTGCGCGTCACATTAAAGCCTCTGCCCTTCGATTTTGCGCACACGCCTTCGAACCCGGTGCTGGAGCGCGACGAGCGCACCAGTGTCAAGCCCTCTGCCGTCGCTGCCTGCTCCGCCTCCGCCGCCGTCATAGACTCGGCCGCCGCCGCTGCCGCCGCTGCTGCTGACGCCTCCGTTCCCAGCTCGCGCGCGTAAAGCAGCGCTCCCTCCTCCGCCGTCGCGGTGCAGCCCTCTGCCGCCGCTGCCTGCTCCGCCTCCGCTGGCGTCATGCACCACAGCAAGACACTCGGGGTGAAGCGGGTTTTCGCGGCGCTGGGGACGTGGATTTCTTGAAAATGAAAAAAAGGTTAAATAGCCCAGCTTTCGCGGGACCAGACCCCCCCCCCCCCCCGCTTGGGCCGGCGAATAGACTACATACCATATCCCGGAAAAGTTGGAACCCATGTTGAAATGAACTCGGGGGCACGGGACGCGGCACAAACGGGGCACAAACGCCAGGCTACAAAGACGGGGAGGCACGTAGTGACGCAGGGGAGTCTAGGCGACCCATTTGTGTGTGTACCCAGCTCGCGTACAACGGTGGAGCAACCTGTAGCTGCAACAGGGAAACTCTCGCGCGCGACGACATGCCACGCCGCGTGGTCGACTCGGAGAGCGAGGACGACGATGTGCCGCTCTCTACCCGTGCCGCTGAGCAGCAGCCCAAGACCTCCAAAGGGAAGCCGCAAGGTGCCAGGGCGCCAGAGAAGGACGAGAATGGCAACGAGTGGCACTTCACGGGGCACAAGTGGCTGGGCGTCCTCGTCGCGCGCAGCTTCGGGCGCACGGTGGCCGTCGGTCAAATCACCAAGTGGCTTCCGCCCGACGGCGAGGACGGCGCGCTCTTCAAGGCCGTCCACCTCGACGGAGACGAGGAGGACCTTGAGGACCACGAGGTGGTCGAGGCGATCCAGAAGTACCAGACGACGGGCCACGCGGCTCGGAAGGCGAAGGCCGCGGCTGCGACGCCGCCGCGCCCCGTGAAGGCGGGTTCGGCGAAATCCGCCTTTGCCAAGGCGGCTGCGAGGGCGGCCGCCGCGTCGGCGGCCGACGAGGACGAGGATGAGGACGACGAGGACGACGAGGACGACGGGACCGACGAGGACGACACGCCGAGGCGCGGCGGGCGCGGCGGCAAGCGCAAGAAGATCCGGCGCGTCAAGCAGGACGACGAGGTCAAGGAGGAGACGCGCGCGGCGCTCGAGGCGGAGGCGGAGCGGCGGAGGCAGGTGGGCGGCGGCATCGACGACGAGGAGGACGAGGAGGAGGAGGACGAGGAGGGCCTGGTGCTCAACGTGGCGGAGGCGCGGGGCAGCGAGGCGTCGGCGGTGCGGCTGCAGCCGGCGCTCGGCGCGCAGCTCAAGCCGCACCAACTGAGCGGCACGCGCTTCCTCTTCGACAACGTGTGCGTCTCGTGCGCCTCGCTCCGCGCGGGGCGCGAGGGCATGGGCGCGCTGCTCGCCCACTCGATGGGCCTCGGGAAGACGCTGACGGCCATCTCGCTCATCGACGCGCTGCTCACGAGCGCGCCGCTGCGCGAGGCGGCGCGCGCCGGCGGCGTCGCCGGCTTCCGCACCGTGCTCGTCGTCGCGCCGGCGACCGTGCTGCAGAACTGGTGCGGCGAGGCGGAGAAGTGGTCAGAGCGGGCGAAGATGAGCTACTTCTACTACCACGTCAAGGCGGAGCAGCCGCTCAAGAAGCGGATCGCCACGCTGCGCGAGTGGGCGCGCGACGGCGGCGTCGCCGTCATCGGGTACGAGGCGCTGCTCGCGCTCGTCAAGGGCAAGGCGCGCGAGCAGGCGGTGCCGCTGCTGCAGCAGCCGGGCCCCGATCTGATCGTGCTCGACGAGGGCCACCGCATCAAGAACATGCAGAGCAAGCAGCACGCTGCGCTCGCGGCGGTGCGCACCCGCCGCCGCGTCATCCTCACGGGCACGCCGCTGCAGAACAACCTGAACGAGTACCACGCGATGGTCGACTTCGTGCGGCCCGCGCTGCTCGGCACGGTGCCCGAGTTCCGCAACCGCTTCGTCGCGCCGATCACCAACGGCAACACGCTCGACGCCTCGGCGGCCGACGTGCGGCTCTCGCGGCAGCGGATGGCCGTGCTGCACGACCTTGTGCAGCCCTTGCTCCGCCGGCGCACCGCCGAGATCCTGCGGCAGGCGCTGCCGCCCAAGCGCGAGATCGCGCTCTCGTGCCGCCTCGCGCCCGTGCAGCGCTCGCTCTACAGCACCTTCCTCGAGCACGCCAAGGCGGCGTCGGGCGCCTCGGTGCGCGGGCTGCTCGGCGGCTACCAGACCATGCAGCAGATCTTCAACCACCCCGCCACGCTCTACCGCTGCGTCGACGCCAAGGGCGCGGCGGGCTCCAAGCGCGAGGCCTCGGGCTACGACTCGATGGACGACTTCGTCGTCGAGGAGGACGACACCAGCGGCTCCGAGGGCGACGACAGCGGCGGCGATCAAATATCTCATCACACACACCTCTTTCACGACGACGAGCAGATCGCCACCTCCTTCTCGCAGGCCGAGCTCTCCGAGCTGTGGTCGCTGCGGGACGAGGCGCCGCGCCCGTCGGCCGAGCTGCTCGCCGAGCCCGAGGCGCGTCATCAGAGTGGCCGAGGCGGCGGAGGCGGCGGAGCCTGCTGCGGCGCTGCTGGCGCTTGGAGGCGGCGGAGGCGGCGGAGCTGAGAGAGCGGAGGGCGAGAGAGGTGTGTGTGATGAGATATTTGATTGAGAGAGGCATGTATCGAGATCGAGAGAGGCAATTAAATATTAATTATCGAGATCGCACGAGATCACACTTTCAGGCGCCTGCTGCGGCGCTGCTGGCGCTTGGAGGCGGCGGAGGCGGCGGAGCTGAGAGAGCGGAGGGCGAGAGAGGTGTGTGTGATGAGATATTTGATTGAGAGAGGCATGTATCGAGATCGAGAGAGGCAATTAAGTATTAATTGTCGAGATCGCACGAGATCACAGGCGCCTGCTGCGGCGCTGCTGGCGCTTGGCCGAGGCGGCGGAGGCGGTGGAGGCGGCGGAGGCGGCGGAGCTGAGGTGGATGGCGGCCCGTGAGAGGTGTGTGTGACGAGATATATGATCGGGAGAGGCATGGATCGCGGTCGAGAGGAGCGAGAGGTGTGTATGCGTGTCAAGCGCCCGCTGCCAGAGGCGCTGCTGCGTGCTGGCGTAGTTTTGTGGTATCTCGTATGTGAAAAAACTACCCACTAGATTGTCGTGCAGACAAAGCGACTTTTTAGCTTTCTAATGTAACAAACATGGCGCATGCATGCAGCTAAATCGTACATGCCTTCATGCGTATACGAGTACTGATACTCTAGAGACCCGTACGCCGCGGCACCGAAAATCGGCCCGCTGCTCTCGGTTTGTGTGTGGAGGGCGCGGCGGGGAGGTGTCTAGTCTTGATCCTCCCATCTCACCACGCCTTCTCACGAGCGTGGCGCGTAGTTGCGCGCGCTCTTCATCTTGCCGATCGCCTCCGCCCAGTAGCTGCCAGTGCCGATAGCAGGCCGGGCCTGCACCCACGAGCGCGTGAGGCGGCAGTAGGCCTTGTACTTGAACTTGTTCTGTGAGATGGCGTGGAGCATGGAGAGGACGTGGTCAAAGGCGGCCTGGTTCTTGAGCGAGCCCGCCGCCAGCATCAGCTCGACGACGAGCACCGGCGAGCAGCCCTCCGCGACCAGCCACGTCAGGAGCACAAACCGGCCGTTGTAGTCGAGGGCCTTCGAGCGGATGAGGGTCTGGTGCGGCGAGGCGGAGAAGTGGTCAGAGCGGGCGAAGATGAGCTACTTCTACTACCACGTCAAGGCGGAGCAGCCGCTCAAGAAGCGGATCGCCACGCTGCGCGAGTGGGCGCGCGACGGCGGCGTCGCCGTCATCGGGTACGAGGCGCTGCTCGCGCTCGTCAAGGGCAAGGCGCGCGAGCAGGCGGTGCCGCTGCTGCAGCAGCCGGGCCCCGATCTGATCGTGCTCGACGAGGGCCACCGCATCAAGAACATGCAGAGCAAGCAGCACGCTGCGCTCGCGGCGGTGCGCACCCGCCGCCGCGTCATCCTCACGGGCACGCCGCTGCAGAACAACCTGAACGAGTACCACGCGATGGTCGACTTCGTGCGGCCCGCGCTGCTCGGCACGGTGCCCGAGTTCCGCAACCGCTTCGTCGCGCCGATCACCAACGGCAACACGCTCGTGCTTCGCGGCGCAGGCTCCTGACGTGCTTTCGAATCGTGGCTTGATTTGCGCTTCGACTAGCCCGTCGGTGCTAGGCGGGCGATTGGGGACGTACGTCGCCCAAGTAGTCCATCTAATAAGACCTAGCAGCTTCGGCCGTTGAATTTTCCTACTCTTTTGCTCCGGCGGGCGCCTTATAGGCGCCCTATAGGCGCCTACACGCGATTTTAGGCATCTAGAGGGCGCCTAGCTCCAGAGGCGCCTATAGGCGCCTATAGGCGCCTATATAGCACCGAGAGGGTGGTTGGAGTGAGATAGGGCATGGCGCGCCGAATTTGTTTGTGCGGCGCCGAGTTTTGTTGCAGGGCGAACGGGTGAGCGTATCGGTGAGCGGCTCGCCGTGAACGCTAGCCGCTCCTCGCCAACTAACTGGGGCCCTCTGCCACGACGCCTGCAGGCTCATATGATGTAGTTCATGGTCGCTCCGTCGACGGAGCCGCGCGAGGCTGCTGCGCCGACGGATCTTGCGGGTGCACCGCTCGCTCGGTCACGCTTCTTGTCCGCACGCGCTCTCGCACAGTAGCCACCTCTTCGATCCTAGGTACCCGCCCGCTCCGCAACCGTCTCCCGCCCCTCTCCACGCTCTGGCCACACGACGTTGAACCCGCTCGTCCTTCGAGCAGGCATCTCGCCGTCGGCTGCTCGTGGAGGCTGGTCACGCTCGCGGCAGCAGCAGCCGCGCGGCGGGCGCCGTGCTGCCGTCGCCGCCGCGGCGCGGGACGCGCCGCCGTAACGAGGCGCCACAGCCCTCCACCTCCACCTTATCCAATCGGACATCTCACCTCACACCACCACCACGCCACCCCACCCAGTAGTCTGTCACCAGTAGAGATTATTTAGTTGACGCCCGTCGCCTCTCTCCCCGCCGCCGCACCACGCCACCGCCCACGCCGCCTCGCCGCCGCGCCACTCCGCCCCGCGCCGCTCCTCCCGCCCTCCTCCCATCTCGCCCTCTCCCGCTGCCTCTGCTTCTGCCCTGTAACTCGGCTGTAAACACGTATTCTCGGACCATCTCGGGTATATCTCGGGTAATCTCTGTCCCTCACGGCGGTATCCGGCCGATCTCGGCCGATCCCGGCCCTCCCCGGCCACTCCCGGCCAAAGTATTCCATTTCTCATCTCACGCGCCTCTCCCACACCCTCTCTGCACCCGCACCTGCACGTACAGTAAACTCGGACATATCTCGGAGAATCTCGCTGAGATTTGAGCTTGTCCCCGAGAGGGAGGCAGGAGCACCCGCCCACCGCCGCCTCAGATTTAATTGAGCTAGTTCCACCCCGGGAGTGGTGCCACGTCACCACCCACCTCTCCCGCACCCTCTCTGCCTCTGCACCTGTATTCATCAAATATCTCATCACACACACCTCTTTCACGACGACGAGCAGATCGCCACCTCCTTCTCGCAGGCCGAGCTCTCCGAGCTGTGGTCGCTGCGGGACGAGGCGCCGCGCCCGTCGGCCGAGCTGCTCGCCGAGCCCGAGGCGCGTCATCCCCGAGGCGCGTCATCCTCACGGGCACGCCGCTGCAGAACAACCTGAACGAGTACCACGCGATGGTCGATTTCGTGCGGCCCGCGCTGCTCGGCTCGGTGGCCGAGTTCCGCAACCGCTTCGTCGCGCCGATCACCAACGGCAACACGCTCGACGCCTCGGCGGCCGACGTGCGGCTCTCGCGGCAGCGGATGGCCGTGCTGCACGACCTTGTGCAGCCCTTCCTCCACCGGCGCACCGCCGAGATCCTGCGGCAGGCGCTGCCGCCCAAGCGCGAGATCGCGCTCTCGTGCCGCCTCGCGCCCGTGCAGCGCTCGCTCTACAGCACCTTCCTCGAGCACGCCAAGGCGGCGTCGGGCGCCTCGGTGCGCGGACGCGCCGCCGTAACGAGGCGCCACAGCCCTCCACCTCCACCTTATCCAATCGGACATCTCACCTCACACCGCCACCACGCCACCCCACCCAGTAGTCTGTCACCAGTAGAGATTATTTAGTTGACGCCCGTCGCCTCTCTCCCCGCCGCCGCACCACGCCACCGCCCACGCCGCCTCGCCGCCGCGCCGCTCCGCCCCGCGCCGCTCCTCCCGCCCTCCTCCCATCTCGCCCTCTCCCGCTGCCTCTGCTTCTGCCCTGTAACTCGGCTGTAAACACGTATTCTCGGACCATCTCGGGTATATCTCGGGTAATCTCTGTCACTCACGGCGGTATCCGGCCGATCTCGGCCGATCCCGGCCCTCCCCGGCCACTCCCGGCCAAAGTATTCCATTTCTCATCTCACGCGCCTCTCCCACACCCTCTCTGCACCCGCACCTGCACGTACAGTAAACTCGGACATATCTCGGAGAATCTCGCCGAGATTTGAGCTTGTCCCCGAGAGGGAGGCAGGAGCACCCGCCCACCGCCGCCTCAGATTTAATTGAGCTAGTTCCACCCCGGGAGTGGTGCCACGTCACCACCCACCTCTCCCGCACCCTCTCTGCCTCTGCACCTGTATTCATCAAATATCTCATCACACACACCTCTTTCACGACGACGAGCAGATCGCCACCTCCTTCTCGCAGGCCGAGCTCTCCGAGCTGTGGTCGCTGCGGATCACACACACCTCTTTCACGACGACGAGCACGCCGCTGCAGAACAACCTGAACGAGTACCACGCGATGGTCGATTTCGTGCGGCCCGCGCTGCTCGGCACGGTGCCCGAGTTCCGCAACCGCTTCGTCGCGCCGATCACCAACGGCAACACGCTCGACGCCTCGGCGGCCGACGTGCGGCTCTCGCGGCAGCGGATGGCCGTGCTGCACGACCTTGTGCAGCCCTTCCTGCACCGGCGCACCGATGCGTATTGCTGTGATCCATATTGTTGTTGTTGTTGTTGTTGTTGTTGTTGTTGTTGTTGTTGTGCCGAGATCCTGCGGCAGGCGCTGCCGCCCAAGCGCGAGATCGCGCTCTCGTGCCGCCTCGCGCCCGTGCAGCGCTCGCTCTACAGCACCTTCCTCGAGCACGCCAAGGCGGCGTCGGGCGCCTCGGTGCGCGGGCTGCTCGGCGCCTACCAGACGCTGCAGCAGATCTTCAACCACCCCGCCACGCTCTACCGCTGCGTCGACGCCAAGGGCGCGGCGGGCTCCAAGCGCGAGGCCTCGGGCTACGACTCGATGGACGACTTCGTCGTCGAGGAGGACGACACTCCCGGCCAAAGTATTCCATTTCTCATCTCACGCTCGAGGCGGTGCTCAAGCGGCGCACGCGGCCGGCGGGGGACATGAAGTGGAAGCGAGGGCGCGACTACATGCGGCTCGACGGCACGACGCCGCAGGCGCAGCGGCAGCGGCTCGTCGACCACTTCCAGGACGAGGAGAGCGACGCGCGGCTGCTACCGGTAATGGTTACGCTCTCTTGCGCTGCCCCGTCGCCTGCCGCGTAATGGAATCCCTTAGGCGCGAAACCCCCAACACGGCGCTATGGTATATGGCCGGACGCTATCGCGTCCGCGCTCAGTCGAGCAGCTCACATCTCCCCACATCTCCCCACATCTACCCACATCTACCCACATCTACCCACATCTCGGCCCATATCTCCGCACATCTCCCCACATCTCCCCACATCTCCCCAGCGAGGGAGGCATCGAGTTCGGAGGGAGACCCGAGTGACGAGGAGGATGGAGATGACAATCTGGGACGAGAGACTGGTAGCGAGGATCCTGTGGAACGTATCCTCGGGGAGAGAAGTAATGGAGATAAGGTAGAGGTGAGAGTGCGGTGGGTGGAGGGAGGAGAGGAGACGTGGGAGCCTGTGGAAGGGGTGAGCGAGTGTGAGGCGTATGGGAAGTACCTGCGAGAGAGGGATCCACGCACAAAAACAAAAAGAAAGTCGCAAGAGACCATTGGGTTTGTACTATTAACAACGAAGGGCTCTCAAAAAAAGAAAGTACCCGCGCAAAAAAACGGCATTTTTTCGGTGCTGGTAGCCCCCCCAAAACAGGCGCGCGCAGCGCGCCCAAGGGCGCCGCAGGCGCCCCAAGCGGCGCGGAGCGCCGCCGCAGGCGGCGGACAGCAGGTGCGCGAAATTAAACGCCATTTTCGGTTCCGCGGTTTTGCCACTAACATCGAAATCCGGTACAAATCGACTTAGCCGAAACAGCTGACAGACAGACAGAGAGTACACAAGTTCAAACGAGGGTTGCGCCGGTCGCCGCCGCGCACCCACCCGAGCTAGATGCCCCATAGGACGCCATCTCCCTCTGGGCTCGGCTCTGGACGCCTCCAGGGCAGCATGGGTAGGCCGGAACCGCGCCACGGTTACGCCGAGGCCGCGCAGCAGAACCGACGGCGATCGTGGCGACGGTGTCTCGACGCTGCACTGGCGCGAGAGGCGGCCATAAGGGCGCCGGCGGTGGCAGCGCCGGCCGTGAGGAAGGTGGCCGTGGCCCTGGCGGCTCAGCGAGCTCGGTGGAGCGGGCAGTAACAGCGACGGCAATGGCGGCGCTAACGCCGGGCGACGGCGGCGCCTAGCGCCCTCGAAACAAGTCCCACATGCTGCGAGCTGCCTGCCGGACTGCGCGGCCACCTGCGCCGCCGCCGCCTGCGCGTGCCACCCCTCCCGCCTCCTCGTCATGTCGGCGCTTCCGCTTCCGCCTCTCCTTCGCCTTCGCCACCTTATAATACTGCTCTCGGGCTAGACCAGCTGACTCCTCCGCATACCTCTGCCTCCACAGCGCCCGCCGCTGCCGCCGCTGCTTCAGCCACCGCGCTCGAGTCGCGCTGCCGATGGGCGGCATGCTATCGTCCGCAAAGTCGGCGTTGATCTTGTTAAACCGCTGCACCAGCTCCTCCGACGCGTCGGCGGGGAGCTGCCACTCGAGGGCAGCACGGCCACCTCGGTGCTGCCCGCCGCGCCCGCCGCGCCCGCCGCGCCCGCCGCGCCCGCCGCGCCCAGCACCGCGCGCGCCACCGATCTGCGCGCCTACCGCTTGAATAGAACGAGTCAGTGGCGTGTGCGAAGGAGGAGGCACCGCCATCGCTGCGCCACCCTCGCCGTCACTTTCGCCGTCGCCGTCGCTCTCCTCCTCCTCCTCCTCCTCCGACGCCTCCTCCGCCTCACTACCCCCACCACCCTCGTCCTGCACGTCGAAGCCACCATTGCTATCGCCCTCGTCCACTTCCTCGCCCTCGCTAGGTGATACAGGTCCGCGTCGAAGCAAGGGATGCAGAGCGCGTCCGGCGGCTGCACGTCGAGCCGCTCAGCGTCCTCGTAGGATGGCCGCTTCCCACTCGCGCGCTCTGCGACCACGCGCGCGAGGAACTCGCGCTGTTGGCGGCTGACGCCATTGCAGACGACGTCCGCCTTCCCGCGTCGCACAAAATCGCCGTCGGCGCTGCCTCCCGCTGCCGCGGCGTCGCACCCGCCAACTTCGCCTTCGGCCTCGTCGTCCGAGTCGGCGTCTGCTGCGCCGCGAACCGCCGCTGCCGCCTCGTCCTGGCCCGGGTCGCGCGGGGCGTACGGGTCGATGTCGCCGACCAGAGGCGTAGTCAGGGAGTTGACGTAATCGGAAAATCGCTGCCTCGTTTCGGCGCACACCACGACCGGCTTCAAGTCGAAAGCCGAGTTGAGATCGGAGTTGTAAACGGTGCAGCCGTCGGCCTCAAGCTCCCGCAGGGACAGATAGAGCGGCGCGTGATATGGGAAGTGGGCGTTGAAATCGTTGGAGCACAGCCAGAGAACGTAATCACCCGGCTCCGAGCAGCGCAGCGAGGCGGGCGCGTCCGGAAGCAGCGCCGATTTGCCACCTGCGAGGCAGCCACCCGCGACCAGTCAGCTCATGACGCGCCGCATCGATACGGAGAGTGCACGCGCGCCTCCCTTGCTCGTGCGAGAGGCTGACACCAGCTGCGCGAGCGTGAGGCCTTTGTATGCGCCGAAGTGGAGTCGATAGGCTGGCGGCGCGCCGCGTCGAGCAGCGTGGTCGGCCACGCAGCCGCCGTTGGCCTGTGTGGCCGCCCACCTGAGCAGCGTCGACTGCTGCTCCTCGTCCAACCGCGCCACCTCTCCCTGGTTTGCGGAGCGCGGGTCGGGCGCGTGCCGCCGCGACCACTCATTCATCTCGGTCAGCGCAGTGCCGGCTAGATCGCTCATCGGCGGCAAGCGCAGCATCGCCATGTCTCGCTCCTGCACCATCTTGCCGAAGCGCAGGCCCGGGAAGGCAGTGTCTTTTATGAAGCGGAGCCGCGCCGTGTCGTGCTTGTTGTACCTCCCTGAGCGGCCGGCGTAGCGCTGGTGCACCTCCTGGAGGATCAGCTGCAGCTCGAGCTGATGGCGGACGAGGTCCTCACCGCTCGGCAGCGCCGGCGAAAGGCACATGGCGGCGGCACAGGAGATCTGCGAACAGGGCGAGTCGACGCTGGCAGGTGAAGCAGCGTCGACTCGCTACCAGCACCGAATGGGTACCCTCCCCAAAAAAACAAACACGAAAAAACCTTGGGGCGGCAAACCATCCGGCGCGGAAAGGCCTCCTTCGCCCCATTTGATGGTCCACTTCGCACTCTTCTCGCTCGGCCTGGCTCCGCTCTACCTGCCCACGCTCCTGCAGCCGTCGCAGGAAGCGCTTTTGCACCGCTCCATTCAGACGTGGGGCATCTCGACGCTCCGGCAGCAGATCCATGCGCGCCATGTCGCCAAGGTTGCGTTCTACGCCGATGAATCGGCGGTGGAGGTGCTCGACTCCAACGGGCTGCAGCGGCGAGTCGCCATCTTCCCCGGGGTGGCGCCGATCCTACTCCAGGACCTCCGCTCGGAGAAGCTTCCCTTCTTTGTCGTGCCCGAGCGCCCGCAGGCGCCGAGCGTCGTGCTCGCATTTGCCCGCGGCTTTGTCTCGATGCTGGTCGTGATCCTGGTCATCAACGCGCTGGGAATGCTAGACCAGTTCGTCTGGGGCTGCATGATCGCCGGCAGCGTCCTCAATGCCGTCTCCGAGCAGGTCGCCTCGGCGTGCGGGGCGGCGGGCGCGGCTGCGGGCGCGCGGGTGGCGGAGGGGAGGAAGCGGCACGGCGAGGCGGTGGCGGGGCTGTACCGAGCTCTGGGCGCGCTGTCGGCGGGCGGGCCGGCCCCTGTCCCACCGGCTTCGGGGCGCCCGGTGCGGGAATCTCTCCTTGTCTCGGTGAGGCCGGCGGCGCACAGTCGCCTCGCGGCTGGCAGGCTGCGGCGCGGCGCAAACGGGGCGAGGGCTGAGGCGGATGAGGCGCGGCTGCCGCTGGTCACGTCGGACGAGGAGGCGGAGGAGGCCGACGATCCGCTCGCCGACTACGACATCTGATCTGAGTGGGCGGCCGCCGATTTTGCCACATTTTGTATTGCTTCGTTCTCGAGGGCTGACTTGCGGTCGGCTCGGCGCGACATCCTGTATCTGTCAAGAGGGGCGTTTAGGGCATGCATGCGTGTGGGTGGCGTGCATATTTGTGGTCGCGTCAGTCGCGGGGCTCCTGTGTTGTGGTGTGTGGACGTGGTGGTATTGTGCGGGCGGTGTGTTATTTACAAACCTCTCTCTCTCTCTCTCTCTCTCTCTCTCTCTCTCTCTCTCTCTCTCTCTCTCTCTCTCTCTCTCTCTCTCTCTCTCTCTCTCTCTCTCTCTCTCTCTCTCTCTCTCTCTCTCTCTCTCTCTCTCTCTCTCTCTCTCTCTCTCTCTCTCTCTCTCTCTCTCTCTCTCTCTCCCTGCCTCCCTCCCTCTCCCTCCACCTCCCTCCCCCCCCCCTCTCTCTCTCTCTCTCTCTCCGCTCGGCGCTCGCCTCTATGGCTGGCCAAAACCGTATCAAACCGCATAGGCGGGCGTGAGCGCTGGCACGTGCACAGAGGGATGTTGACATACGCGGCACACGTGCCGATCTAGGGAAACATATACGCGCCCCATGCGTGGCAGCGTGGGCGTGTATGTCACGCTTGGCCAAAGTACAGGTTTCGATCCGGGCCACCGGCACCGCAAATTTTGATCAGCGCAAATTTCGAGGGGCGGCCGCAAATTTTGAGGTAGATTTTGATTGTCAAAACGTGTCCGTCTTGGCACAGGATAGAGCATATAGGCGGCGAACACCCAGGTGCGCAGGGACATCGCGACTCTGCCCGCTCGCTCGACCCTTTTGCCGCGAGAGGGCGCCGGCCGCGTGTAAGAGGTGGCTGGCGCCCTGAGGCGGCAATTGGTGGCGTGGGGAGTGCGGAACGCTACTGGCGGCGCGACAGGGCCTCTCTCCGCTGCGTGTGCCGCCCAGGCGCTTAGGCGGCCCTTGCGAGCGTGGCGGCGTGGTGGTATCGTAATACAAGTGACTCCGATGACACACATGATGCTCCTGCTAGTGTCATCGCTCAGAGAGCAGCCTCACCGCGTCGAAAGTCTACCACTGGCCCTGGTCGCACACCGCCGCTGAGCTCCGCCGCCGCGCTCGCTGGACAGCGGCCGTGACTCACCTGCTTCGGGCGCGCTGCTCCTCGGGGATGGCGAGAAGCGGCAGAGATGATGCTCATAGATGAGCTAGCCCCAGATGCCCCGTTTGCCCCACTGCGGCGCCGCGCTCGTGCCGGCGTGCGAGTGGGTACAATGCACCCCCTCTGCCGCTCGCGGCCCGGAACGCATCGGGAGATATTCATTCGTATACGTCAAGACGTGCTCAGATGGTGCACGTAGTAGAGTGACTGAGCGCGTGGCCACTCTCCACCCTCGATTGCGGGTGCGGCCGCGGCCGCAGTGGTGTAGGCGGACAGTAATGATGCCGCGCGGGCGGAGTGGCGGACACGAGGACGCTGCCGTCGGACGAGGGGTTGCTATCATACGCAAGCACGAGCCGTCGGTGACGCGACGGCGTCATCACCGTTGGCCAGCATAGAAGCGCGAAAACCTGCCCGTGTGTCGGATGCGTCCCCAAACTTGTAGCGCTACATCTTTGGACACACACCGGCGGGCGCTTTCGAGGCGACCGGGAGCATTTTTTCTAGCCACATGGACCTTTTTGCGGCACGATAGCTGGGCTGCAACATACGTGTACCTACACTCGACTACAGCTACGACCTACGACTGCAACGGCGCGCAGCGCCGAAGAAAATTTTGGGGCTTCTCGAGCTTTTGCCGGTGTGGACGCCGTTGTTTCGCAGCTCGGTCGGGGGGGGCGCCCCTGCGTTAAGTGTGCGCACTTGTAGCAGACCTTCGATAGCAGACCTTCGCCACACCGTCCAGCGACAGCGCGGCTGTCGGCTCAACCGAAGACCACCATTGCTCAAGAAGCTCAAGAAGGGGCTGCTAACTTGTCCGTCCGCGCGTCCGTCTTCTTCAACGAGAAGCAGCGGCTGCAGCGGGATCTGACGGCGCTGGCTCTGGCCGTCTACGCCGAGACCACCGGCGCGCCGCCTCGCTCGCTCGCCGTGCTCGACGCCCTCGCCGCGTCGGGCGTGCGCGGGCTGAGGTACGCGCTCGAGGTGCCCGCCGTCGGCACGGCGGTCCTCAACGACGCGAGCGACGAGGCGGTCGCGGCGATGCGCGAGAATGCCCAACTGAGCGGCTTCGCGGCAGCTCGCGAGCGTGGGTCGTACCTCCACGCGGGCGGCGCGCGGCTCGAGGTGTCGCAGGGCGACGCGGTCGCGCTGATGCGCGCGCGCAGGCGCCACTTCGACGCCGTCGACCTCGACCCGTACGGGAGCGTCTCTCACCATCATCCCAGCGCAGCACACACCCTCGCTGCCGTCTCCGCATCCTCTCAACGCAGCACCGCGCAGTCCGCTCGCCTCCACGCCGGCCCCGAGGCCAGCCTGCTGGCGCGAGCTCTGCACGCGGCGTCTCACGCCAGCAGGTGCGTCGCCGAGCTGCTCCCTGCGGCGGTCGAGAGCTTGCGGGACGGCGGGCTGCTTTGTGCGAGCTGCACCGACTTGGGCGCCCTGAGCGGCCGCTACGGCGACGGCTGCGCCAGGCGCTACGGCGCGGATCCGCTCCGCGCCGCGCAGAAGCAGGCGCCAGGGCCGGCGCTGCGGCGGCTGCTCGAGATCACCCGAGATCACGCGAGATCAGCCGAGGTCAGGCGCCGGAGCTGGCGTTGCGGCTGCTGCTCGGCTGCGTCTCGCGCGCCGCCAAGGGCAGCGCCGCCGCCCCGCCCGCCCGCCCGACAGTGCCGAGGCGGCGTCTCCTCACAGCACCGCCAGCCGTGGGCAGGCCGCGCCGTCCGGCCGCTGATCTGCGTCGTCTTTTCGGACTTTTTCGTGCGGGTGATTGCCGCGGTGGGCGAGGCGCCGACGGGCGCGTCCTCGCCCCTCGCCGCCGCCTCGCCCCTCGCCGCCGCGGCAGAGTCGCCGCCGCTGCCGCCGCAAGCCTTGGCCGGCCAGGTGTCGTATTGCTTGTCGTGTGGTACGCTCGAGGCGCAGTGGCTTGCAGGCCGCGGCGTGGACAGGCAGGGCGCGGAGGGAGGGGTGGAGGGGGAGGAGGCAGAGGAGGGGGAGGAGGCAGAGGAGGGGGAGGAGGCAGAGGAGGGGGAGGAGGCAGAGGAGGCAGAGGAGCGCAGAGGAGGGGGAGGAGGCAGAGGAGGGGGAGGAGGCAGAGGAGGGGGAGGAGGCAGAGGCCTTTGGCGTCCGCGGGGTGCTCTGCTCGCGGCGCGGCCACGCGCCGCCGCACGCGCGCACGCCAACCGCGCCTCCGCCACCCAACCCTCCACCACCCAACCCTCCACCACCCAACCCTCCACCTCCGCGCCGGCCGCTGCTGTTGCCCCGGAGCGTCGCCCGCGCCCGCAGTGCTCGCGCGTCCGAATGCGGCGGCGCAGGCTCGGGCGGCGCAGGCTGCGGCGGCGGCGCGGCCGCCGTGGCCAGAGGCGTCGAAGGCGCTGCCCGTTGTCTCGCTGCAAGTCCCGCCGCCCCAATGGGCGGCGGTCGCGCGGCGAGGAGAGGCGGCGCGGCCGGCGCAGGTGGCGCAAGTGGCGCAGGCGGCGCAGGCGGCGCAGGCGGCGCAGGCGGCGCAGGCGGCGGAGGCGGCGCAGGCGGCGGAGGCGGCGGAGGCGGCGGAGGCGGCGGAGGCGGCGGAGGCGGCGGAGGCGGCGGAGGCGGCGGTTCCTGCCGCCGGGTAGATGCGGGAGGGGGCCGGGCTGAGGCCGGAGGAGGCGTGGCTAGCGGGAGGACTGTCCGCGGTGTCAAACGCGGCGGCGGCGGCGGCGGCGGCGGCGGCGGCGGCGGCGGCGGCGGCGTCTGCCGCCACTGCGGCGGCTGTCTCGAGGTTGGCGGTCCGTATTGGACAGGCGGCGCTCGCGAGGCCGCCCGTCGTCTCGGCCGCCTCGGCAACTTTGCCGTGAGAGTTTGGCGGAGGCTTGATTCAGGTGCCACTTGCGACGCCGCGTTCGTCGCGGCCGCCTTGGCCAAGGCGGAGCTGGCGGGGGCGGCGGCGTACAGCTCGCTGCCGCTGCTGCAGCCGCTGCTGCGCGCACTCGCGGCAGAGGCGGCGGTGAAGACGGTCGGCGGCGGCGCGGCGGCCTCCCTGCTCGCCCTGCCGCTCCCGGCGGCTTGCCGCGCGTTGCGCTGCACTCTGGTGGCATCTCCCCACATCTCCCCGGTGTCTCCCCCCCCCCCCCTTCCCCCCGTACCCCCCCCCCTTATCTCCCCCTATCGCCCCCGCATCTCCCCCTCTCCCCCGCAGGTGCCGCCCGCGACGCTCGTGCGCGCGCTGGAGGGGTGTGGTGTCGGTGCTGCGCCATGCCACTGGGACCCGTGCACTCTCAAGGCGGCAGATTCCCCTAGATTCCCCTAGATTCCCCCTAGATTCCCCTAGACTCCCCTAGATTCCCCTAGACTCCCCTAGACTCCCCTAGACTCCCCTAGATTCCCCTAGACTCCCCTAGATTCCCCTAGATTCCCCATAGATTCCCCTAGACTCCCCTAGACTCCCCTAGACTCCCCTAGATTTCCCGAGGCTCCGTCGGTGCCGCAGGCGGCGGACGCACGTCGCGTGTGGCCAGTGCTCTGCGAGTGGGCGAGGCTCCACCCCCTACAGCAGGGCGAGGCCAGCGCGTTGCTCGGGCGCCTGCAGCGGCGGTCATGCGGCGGGGAACCCGGCCGCATACACTTCGACGGCGTCTCCACTCTGCAGCAGCAGAAGCGGCGGCGGAGGGAGGGCCTACCCGCCCGTGTCGCTGCGCCGCCGCCCGCCACAGTCGCCGGGCCGAGCGGCGGTGTCTCGGCCGCAGGCGCGGAGATGGTATCGCGCCGCCGGCCCGCGCGTCGACATGTCCGAGACGTGTCCGAGACGTGTCCATAGGCGCTCTCCCTCTTCGAGGTCGATGGAACCACCGCGACATGTCCGAGACGTGTCCGAGACGTGTCCATAGGCGCCGGCCCGCGCGTCGCGACGGCAGACTCCCCCCCCGGAGGCGGAGGCGGAGGCGGAGGCCGGTGCCGCTTCTCTGCGGTTTGCCCCTTCCCGTACGCGCGCGACGGGAGGGCGGACTCGGTGGCGCCGCTCGGTGTGGTGGTGTGCAGCGCGTCGCGGGGCGAAGAGCGCTTCTCGAGCTTGGCGGCGGCCGTGCGCGCAGCGCCGGAGGGGGCGACGGTGCTCCTCGGCGAAGGTGAGACGGAGCTTGACGGCGCGCTGCTGCTGCTGGTAGCACCTCGGCTGCACCTCGGCTGCACTTTGGCTGCACTTTGGCTGTACACCTCGGCTGCACCTCGGCTATACCTCGGCTGCACCTCGGCTGCGGCTATACCTCGGCTGCACCTCGGCCGTACCTCGGCTGTACCTCGGCCGCACCTCGGCTGCACCTCGGCTATACCTCGGCTGCACCTCGGCTGCGGCTATACCTCGGCTGCACCTCGGCCGTACCTCGGCTGCACCTCGGCCAGGCGGGCTGCTAGTAGGAGTCCGCAGGGACTCTTCCAAGAAGAGGCAACACCCCGAACGGACGCCAGGCGCGCTGCTGCTCCAGAGGCCGCTCACACTGCTCGGAGCGCGCAACGCGGTGCTGACTGCGCGAGGCGGCGGCAGCGTCGTCGTTGTGGACCTGCCAGGCGGGGGCGCTGCTGGCGGGCACCCACCGCCAACTCTGTCCATCGTCGGCGTCGGTGTCGTGCAGCGGGCGACGGAGCAGCCAGGCGGGGAGAGACGGGGAGATGTGGGGAGGTGGAGAGACGGGGAGATCTGGGGAGATCTGGGGAGATATGGGGAGATATGGATCCGCATTCCGCATCTAGGGGTGGCGAGTGCATGCGCGCGCGAGGGCGAGCCGGCGCGGGCCGCCGCTGGCTATGCGGTCGTCGTTCGTGCGGGGCGCGCGGAGCTCACGCAGTGCACCGTCCAGTCGGCGCTGTCCGGCGGCTGCTTCGTGAGCGCGGCGGCGTCTGCGGCGCTTCGCGGCTGCCACTTCGGCGCGGCGGCGATGCACGGCGTGTTGGTCAGCGGCCGCGCGCGCGTCGAGATGAGGTGCACTCCACTGCCTCTGCACTTCCACCGCCACTGCCACATCCACCCCCACTGCACCTCCACCGCCACTGCACCTCCACCGCCACTGCCACCTCCACCGCCACTGCACCTCCACCGCCGCTGACACTGCAGTCGCTTTGGTCTCTTGAACTCTGTGTGAGATTCTCTCTGGGAGCGGAGGGAGTCCGCAGCCCCACGGAGATTCGGTGAAACTCGCGTCTCAGTCTTCAAGTGCCCATGCGTTGATGGCAGTGGCGGGATGGCACACGCCCAGCCCGCACCCACCGCCGCATGCAAGCCAGCTGCCGCCGAGCCTTCCGCCGCCCCCCCTCGCCCTCGCCCTCACCCTCGCCCTCGCCCTCGCCCTCGCCCTCGCCCTAACCCTTGCCCGAACCCTCGCTCCCGCAGGTTCGCGTCCACTCGTGCCGCGTGCACGACGGCGAGCGCGGCGGGCCGCTCGCCCTCTGCGAGAAGCCGCTGCGGAGCCTTTATCGCTGAGCCGAGTCGAAGGTTCGTGTAGGTGGTCTCCTCGCGCTCGGCCGCAGCTCGCTGCGCGTCGACGCGTGCGCCGTCTCGCGCAACGCAATGGCCGGCGTCAGCGCGCGCGGCAGCGGCCGCGTGGTGGTCGCCGACAGCGCCGTCACCTCCGGGCGCGCGAGCGGAGTGCACATCTCGGAGGACGCCTCAGCGACGGTAGAGCACTGCCGGGTGGAGGCGAACGGGCTGTGCGGCGTCGAGCTGAGCGGCAGCGCTGCGACGCTCGTCGCGCGCCGAAACGTCGTCCGCGGCAACGGAGGCGAGGCGTTCGCCCTGCCGTCGCCGCAGTGTGGTGGCTGCGTGCAGCTGGAGGGCAATGACTTGGGGTGAGAGGTCGAGCCGCTTCGAATTGAAAGACTTAGGAAATAAAACACGCACAGTCACGCGCGCGGGTCGGATAAGTGCGGTGCCTCGTCGCCCTCGCCTTTACGCTTGGTTTATGGGGCGGGTGGTGCCATTCCCCCTTCGCGAGAGCGAGTGCGAGCCGCTCGCGGTTCGTACGCCCGCTTGCGGGTTCGAGTGGCGGGCTATCCCGCTTGCGGGATGGCTTAGCGGGTTCGAGCCGTCACACATTGGCTGCCGGGGTGTGCCGAGGGAGAGTACCATACCATACCCCGCAAAAAGTCCGAACCCTGGCGCCCGCCGCCGAACGATCAGCAAACGCGACGGGGGCGGGAAGCTGCGCGCTGCGATGAGACCGCTCTATCGCTCCGTGGCCGCGATCGTCGCCATCCACATCCTGCTGCTTCTCGGAGGCGCGGCGCTGCTGCGCCTCAGGACTGAGCCGAAGGCAGCGCCTGAGGCTGAGATGGTGATGCGAGTGCCAATTCGGCTCCCACGGCCAAATCGCTCGACAGGGCTGTTTCGGAATCGCTCAAAGGGTGCACGTTTACCAGTGAAGCCGCGCTCTCGCGGCCCAAACGTGGCTCTGCTCTTGGCAGACGACCTGCAGGCTCCTGACCTACGCCTTGGGCACACGCCGCATGTTGACAGCATTGGCCAGTCGGGGCTACGCTTCACCAATGCACACACGCCATCTCCGCTGTGCACGCCATCGCGATTCGCCCTCCTGACTGGCCGCCACCCCTCTTGCCACCTTGCGAAAAATGACTGGTCGCCGCAAACAGTGGAGCAACGATCGCTGAACAATACCCTGTCCCGCTCCGCCGCACTGAGGCCGATCGAGTTCAGCATCAACCTGGAGCAAACCGCCATGCCGACCATCGGCAGCCTGCTGCAGCAGCGCGGATACACCACAGGTTTCATAGGCAAGTGGCACGTCGGATATCCTCAGGGGCTCGTTAGCGAGGCGGAGCGGCGGCGCATCGTCGCCACCGATGTGGCAGCGTCGCCAGCCCTGTGGGGCGGGGTCCGCGAGGCTGTGCTGTCCTCGTACCGCGCCGCGCAGGCGCACATTCGGCGCAGCGGCTTCGACTCGGCCGAGCGCATCTACATCAACAACCTCTATCCGGAACAGCACACGCTGCCCGCCTCCATGCTGCGCCACAATGTCGAGTGGCTCACCGATGGCGCCGCGCGCTTTCTTGCCCGGGCGGGGGCGGAGAATGGGACCAGGGGCAATGGCCGCAGGCGGCCCTTCTTTCTGCACGTCGCCTTCACGCTGCCCCACAACCCAGACGTGCTGGGCTCGCTGCAGGCCGACCCTCGCTGGACGCCTGGAGGAATCTGGGCGATGCCAAACCGCAGCAGCGTGCTCGAGAGGCGCGCCGCGGTGTGTCGCGCTGCAAATGTGAGTGTCGCTGCGTGTCAGCCCGGCGGCGGCGCCAACGGTGGCCGCGGTGCCAATGGTGGCGGCGGCGCGCGCCGCCCGCATGTGCCCATGGCCGGGGGCGCGCTGCCGGCAGGCAAGTATGGCCACCGCCACTACCCGCTCGCCCTCGCGTGGCTCGACTCGGGCGTGGGCGAGGTGCTGTCCTCGCTGCGGTCGCTGCAGCTCGACAGCTCGACGCTCGTGCTGTTCACGTCGGACCACGCCGCCTTCGATAAGGGGCACTGCTACAGCGGCGGCTCCCGCGTACCTCTCCTACTCCGCTGGCCCGGCCCGCTGCCCGTGACTCGGCGTCGCCGCCCGCTACCACACCTCGTCTCGCACCTCGACCTACTCCCGACGCTCCTTGACCTCGCCGCTGCACCGCCGCACCTCGAGGCCCTCACCTCCAGCGCCGTCTCCTTTGCCTCCCCGGCCAAGCCGTCCCTCGACGCCGCTCCTCCTCCATTCGAGCCGGCGAGCGGGCTGAGGGGGCGCTCCCTCGCGCCCCTCCTCGCCACCGCGGCGCGCAACGAGCTCTACCGCGGCGGGGTGTGGTGGGAGGAGGGCTGGGCGGCGGACTCGCCGTTTGGCCGCGTCATCCTCTGCGAGGTGGGCCGCAGCCGCGCCGCCTTCGACGGCGCCTACCGCCTGCTCTACGCGCCCCACCTCGCTGGCCGCAACGCGAGCACCCTCACAGGGGGCGCATGGTCAGTCGAGAGCGCATATCCAGCCCACCGCCACCACGAGGCGTATTGGCGGGCGTTGCAGCTCTACGACGTCGCCGCTGACCCGGCCGAGGCGCACGACCTCCTCGCGCTCGGCGCCGACGTAGGCGAGGCGGCACGGCGCGCGCTCTCACTCCTGCGCGCGGCGCTGCAAGCGCATCTCGACGGCGCGTTCGTGGGCAGCGAGTGCTTGGCCGTGCCAGCAGAGGGCAGTGACGGGAGGTCTGCTGGTTCGAGGTTGTGAGTCTTGTCTGTATCTGAATTATTAGATTGGGTGAATTCGTTCAAACTCTCTGTTTCTCGTGTGGATCAGGTGTGGAGACACGTGGGGCATCTGCGACCGCCACCCGCTTTCTCTTTAAACGTGAGACTGATTTTTCGGTTTATAATCAGAGTACTGAAAAAATCTGCAGCCAGGTAAAATATATTCTCCTGTGTTAGTGCGCCAGTGCGCGCCAGTCCCGTGCCAGTGTTGTGCGAGACAGTGCGAGGGAGTTTGGGCTGCACTTCATGCAATCATGGAGCACTTGGAGTGCCCAGTCAGTACGCTTTAACCTCACACGCAGGCACGCAAAATTCTATTCGTTGAAAGTTCTCTTTTTGCGCGGGGTTGTGGGCAGGTTGTGGGGTGGGGATGTCGGGGTGGGGTGGGGTTGGCGCCGGAGTGGGAGAGTCTGAGTGGTCGTGTGACTGCTCTTGTGGTGGGGGCGACGGCTTCTGAGGAAGCCGTTGCCCGCACCTTGCCCGGCTTGCGACTTGCGTTTCCTTGCTGTGAGTGTAAACGAAACCCAGCCCAGTTACACCAACGTCCTCGCTCTGCTGGACCCAACGGCAACACGCGGCCAAAGCCCAAAATCTCCCAAAGGTGAAAGGAGAACCACACCTCGTATCCTCGAGCGCGAGAGGGCGCGCTTTTGTAAATTCTTAAAGTACTGTGTGTGCTGTGAATCGTGCGAAAGCTCACTAGCTAGAGCAGAGCTCAGACACCAACACGCCGACCCGGCTCCCCTCGCCCCCTCCCTACCCTCCCGGATGCGCCTGCTGCCACTCTCGAATCTGTCGGCGCACCATGTGGCTCGGGGAAAGGAAGGTGTGCTCAAGCGCTTCGCCCGTCATCGGGCTGGTCGACTTGGTCGCGAGCCAGCGCTCGATCGCCGTCCGCTCGTACGCATGCCCGTCGGCCGCCATCACCGGGTCGATCATCACCTCGGTCGTGATCGGGCAAATGAAGTCGTCCGGCGGCTCCTCCTCCCTCGTAGCCGGCGCCGCCGCGGCTGACGAGGAGGACCCTGGCTCCTCCGCCACCCGCCTCTCGTCCTCCAGCCTCGCGCTCTCCTCGAGCGCCGCCGCTAGCTGCTCCTCCGCCACAATCGCCTCGTCCTTCGCCGCCGCCCGCCTCTCCTGCTCCAGCCTCGCGCTCTCCTCGAGCGCCGCCGCCAGCTGCTCCTCCGCCACAACCGCCTCGTCTTCCGCCGCTGTCGGCGCCTCCTCCTCCTCCGCCTCCTCGGGCTCCTGCGACGGACCCGCCGCGCCTGCCCCGCCGCCCTTGCCCTTCTTCTTCTTCTTCTTGGCCTTCTTCTTCTCCTTGGCGCGCTTCTCCGCCTCCTCCTCCGCCAGAAGCTCAGCGGCATGCCGCGCCGCCTCCGCCTCCCTCGCCGCCGCCTCTAGGGTGCGCTCGCACTCGGTGTGGCCTTTCTCCTTGGCAAGCTGCAGCGCCGTGCGCCCGTCCGAGTCGCGCATAGACGCGTCAGCACCCGCCTGCAGGAGGAAGAGCATGACGGCGGGCTGATCCTGGTAGCACGCGTAGTGCAGCGGCGTGAAGCCTTCGTCCGTAGTTTGGTCGTCGATCGCCGCACCAGCAGCAACAAGCAGCCGCGCGATCTCGGGATGGCCAAACTCGCATGCAATGTGCAGCGGCGTGTCGCCGCTGTCGGCGGCGACGGTGACGTCGGCACGAGCGGCGCACAGCACCCGGGCGCTCTCGAGGTGGCCCATCTCGCAAGCAATATGCAGCGGCGTCCAGCCGCCGTCCCTGGCTTGGTTGATCGAAGCGCCCGCGCCGACGAGCAGCCGGATGATGTCCGGCTCGCACGTAACGTGCAGCGGCGCGTCCCCGAAGTCGGTGGCGAGGTTGACGTCGGCACGAGCGTCGCACAGCAGCCGGGCGCTCTCGAGGTGGCTCTTCTCGCAAGCAATATGCAGCGGCGTCCGGCCGTCGTCCCTGGCTTGATTGATCGCCACGCCAGCGTCGCTCAGCAGCGCCACGATCTCGAGGTCCTCCGCATCGCACGCGATGTGCAGAGCGGTGTTGCCGGTGCCGGTCGTCGACCCCACGCTCGCGCGGCTCTCCAGCAGCAGCCGCACGGCGTCAGCCTGCCCATGACGAGCAGCGTAGGTCAGCAGCGTCCCCGTGTGCCTCCCGGTCTCGAGTCGCCTGTCGAGCTGGGCCGTGAGCGCCGCTCCCCGCGTCCAGCCGGCGAGGACTGAGTGCAGCGAGGCCAGGTTGCCGTTTTCGAGGTTGGGGAGCAGGGTCGGCTTGATGGTGGCGAAGCTCATGGCACGTGGCACAATCGAGACGATTCGACCGCAAGCGAAGCCCTCGATCTGCTTTGGCAGCAGCTGGTTCTCCTCCACCTCTCCCAGTCCTAGCCTGCCATACGCTCCCGTTTGCAGCGACTCGTCGCATTCGATTTCCATGCCCCAGCTCCAAAGGGCGCCGTCGGCGGCTAGGGCGAGGCTATGGTCTTGTCCAGCCGACACGGCGACGATGCGCCGCCCAGCCAGGGTCTCGATCTTCTTGGGCTTTTGGTGGGTTGTAAAGTCGCCGTGGCCCAAGCAGTTGCAGCCATCCTCAGTGCCGGCATCCCAGTCCTGCTGTCCGCTTCCGCAGCTCCACGCAACGCCATCGGCGGTAATGGCGAGGGTGTGGTCAGCCCCGGCCGATACGGCGACGACTTCCTGACCGTCGAACAAATCTTTGCGGATCCTCTCTGGCCGAAGCCGGCGCTCCCGATCGTCGTGTCCCAGTTTGCCGTCGTCGTTGGTGCCCCAGCTCCAAACCGAGCCGTCGGCGGTGATGGCGAGGCTGTGGAGGATTCCCGCCGACACAGCGACGACGCCCTGGCCCTGCAAAGCCTCGATCTTGCGAGGCTCTAGCAGCGGTTTCTTGTCGCCATGGCCCAAGTTGCCATCCAGACCGCTGCCAAAGCTCCAGACATCGCCTCTGGGCCGCCATCGTCGGTCCAGCGGTGACTTCTCGCCGTCGTCGGTGATGACGAGGCTGTGTAAGCATCCGGCCGACACAGCGATGGCGCGCTCGTCAGCCAAGGCCTCAATCTTCTCTGGCACCAGCCGGCCATGCCGGTCGCCGCCGCCCAGAGCGCCCGAATTGCCAGCGCCCCAGCTCCACGCGACGCCGTCGTCGGTGATGGCGAGGCTGTGCCTGGCTCCCGCCGACACGGCGATGACGCGCTGGCCAGCAAAGGCCTCGATCTTCTTGGGCAGCAGCTGCTCTATCTCGTCGCCGTGGCCCAACCGGCCATAGGCTCCATGGCCCCAGCTCCAGACGCAGCCGCTGGCGGTAAGAGCGAGGCTGTGGGAGGACTTCGCCGACACGCTCACTGCGCGCTCGCCGCCAAGCGTCGACGAAAGCAGGGTCGGCGTGCTCAGCTGCGTCACGCCCGCGCCGTGTCCGAGGAGGCTATCGCAGAGAGTGCCGTCGGTGGCGTAGGGCACTGACTTGCCGCACGTTGAGAGCCGCCCCTCGGCGTCGATGAAGATGCTGTGGTAAGCAGATGCCGCCAGCATCCCCCCACGATGCTGTGGTAAGCGTGCCTCGAGCTGCATTGCGGCAAAACAAAGCCCGCCCAGTCCCGCCGCCGCCGCAGGCAGTTCGTAGCCGCGCTCCTGCGCGCGCAAGCGGAGGCCCTCTGCGACCGGTTCGTGAAAGAGACGGGAGACGGCCACGGTACGAGCGATGTCGACGGGGCTGTGCGCGAGACAATGCATCGAGACAATGCGCACGAGCAGCTCCAGGGGAAGGTCGGCCGTGTCGAGCCCGGGCTCGCCGACAAAGACGGGCTCCTCCTTGGTCAGCGCCTCCTGCTTGCCGTATCGCGTCATGAACCCTGTGAGATTCGCCTGCGGGGCGCCGTCGACGGCCGAGCCAGAAGAGGAGTACTCCTCGCAAAAGTGCTCACACACAAACTCGTTGAAGGAGGCGCAGACGCCAGCTGACCTCTCTCACGAGAGAATTTTCTCAGAATTTTCTCACGAGAGAACCTTCGATTTCGAGAGCTTCGGAGGCTTCGGAAAGGAGGTCCGCAGCACCCGGAGGCGGCGAACCAGCTGAGCAACAAACTTTCGCATGCTCAGCATCTGGACGAGGTCACATGGACAACCAAGAATTGGCACGGCCTACAGATGCATGTCAGTCGTCCTCCACACCGCTGTGGCGTGGCAGACGGTGAAGAGAGAGATTTTTAGCAATACCAAACAAAGGCCAAGGGCCAAGGGCCTTGCGGCAAGGCCAAGGGGCGGGGGCAACCCTCGCAACTGCCATCTCCGCCCTCTCCCTCGCCGCCGCCGACCCCGCAGTCACCGCCCTCGCCGCCGCCGCCCTCACCGCCACCGCCATCTCCGCCTCCTCCTTCGCCACCGTTGCCAAGCCCCTCACCCCTGCCCCCGCCTCCTTCCCCACTGCCACCGTCACCGCCGTCGCCCTCGCTCCCGCCACCAAGCCCTCCACCCTCGCTCCCGCCTCCCTCTCCACCGCCGCCGCTGCCTCCGCCGCGCTCGTCTCCGCTGCCGTCTCCACAACCGCCCCCACCACCGCCACCATCTCCGCCCCTTACACTGTCGCCCCTCCTGTGGACCTCACGGTGGACAAACGCAGTACCGTGGTGGGGCTGGGCGCCCATGCTGATGGCAGCCACAGGCGGGACAACGACCGGTCTGGCGGCGGGCAGGGCCGTATGCTGGCTAGGCCTGATACGAGGCGTGTCGGCCGAAAGGACCGGCGGAGAGGAACCGCGACCGCCTTCTTCGGCTGGATGGAAATGGGCGGGGGCGGCGGTGCTGCTGTTCCTGCTGAGTTGGCTCGTCAAAGCAGGTGCGGCGCGACTAGTGCACCTACACCGGAGAGGAACGAGGGGCACCGCTGTCAATCCGGCGGAGGGCGCTGGGCAACCCGGTTTGAACAAGTACGGGACGGTCGGCTCGCCGGCGCTGGTGGGCTCTCCGACAGGGGCCGCCTCTACGGCCGACTTGCCTGTGCTGGTGGACTTTCCGACAGCGACCGTCTCACCGCCAGCGAGCCCCCCGCAGCCCGCAGAGGCCCTCCCGACTGCCATGGACACGGCGCCATCGAGGAGTGCAACAGATCCTACCTTCAGGGTGGAGGACGGGGTGGGATGGCAAGTCGTGCGCGGCTTCGCGGCGTCGCACAGCCGGCTCGAGACGCTCGACGCCCTGCTGGCATATACGCGGGCGGAGGCACCACAGGCCGACGACCTCAACGGACCAGAGATGCTCGTTGGAATCAGGAGCGCGTCGGGGAGGAAGCTGCTCCGGTTTGTGGGGAGGCGGGAGCTCGCAGAACAAGCGGAGGAGATGGTAAAGGAGGTGCAAACATTCAACGCATCTCGCTACGACCTACGTCCTACTAATCTCATATCACGGACGTTTGCGGTTGTTGCATGCGAGCGCGCAGACCTGTCCGCGACACTCCGTGTGGACCCGTCCAGGTGCTGGACGAGCGAGTCCCTTCCTCTCGTGGGTACTACGGCACTTGGAGCACTTGGAGTGCAGTCATCAACCTCACATCCAGGGCCGGGGAGCTGAGAAGCGCACCCAGCGGGCCGGATGATCGGCGGTGTGCCCAAACGCACACACACCGCATGCGGTCTGCACTCAGCCTCCGCTGCTGTGAAAGAATACCAAACTTGCACTTCAGCTGGTGGCCGCTTTCGCCGCCTACTTTCGCGAGCGCGTTTGGCGTTTGCTCCTCATGCGCGGCGCTCTCGCTGCGCTCTCTCCCTGCTCATGGGACCAAATGCCGCGCCACCTCTGTGGCCGCTCCATCCTCTCTGACGACGCCATCGGGCTGCGCCATCTCTCTTTGGTGATGTCAGGTACTGCGTAGCTCTTCCGAAAAAGAAAGAAAGAAAGAAAACGGACAACCCAAGGGAGGGATGGGAGGACGGCACGCCGCCACCACACAGGGATTTTAAAAGCCCTCACGATTTTTTCTCTTTTTGACATGGCGGCGAAGCCCGAGAACAAGCCCGAGCTCGAGTTGACGCTCGACGTGTGCATCAGCACGCCGCTTTCGCTCGACCTCGCGGCCTTCTCCCTCTGGCTCGAGGGCTGGTCCGTCGCCGAGGCGGCTCGCGAGCTTCTCTCCTCGTACCACGAGCCGGAGCGCGACGAGGGCGCGGCGGGCAAGGCTGGGTTCGCCGCGGCCGCCGCGCTCTCCCTGCGGCCTGGCGAGGCGCGCGAGATGCTCGCCGGCCTTGTCCTCTCCGAGACGGCGGAGCAGTACCGCCTCTTTGCGATGCTCAAGCCCTGCCTCGACGAGCCCGCCACGCTCGCGACGCAGCGGCGCTGGCAGCTGATGCCGATGGAGCGGCGCGCGCTGGTCGACGCGTACTTCACGTTCGACGAGCGTGTGCTGCGTGAGCTGGTGGGCAGGAAGCCCACCTCCAAGCTGCGCCGCCAGCTCGAGGCGCAGGCGGACCGTCTCAACGTGTCGCCGCACTCGTGCCGCCGCCAGTTCGACAACCTGCAGCGCCTCTACGACTACGACTGGAACGCCTCTACCCCACCCCCAGGCGACTGGGAGCCGCCTTCCTGCGGGGGCGGCGGCGGCGGCGGCGGCGGCGGAGGCAGCGGTGGCGGCGGCGGCGGCGGCGGATGCAGCAGTGGCGGTGGCGGCGGCGGAGGCGGCGGCGGCGGCGGAGGCGGCGGCGGCGGCGGCGAAGACGGCGAAGACGGCGGAGGAGGAGTCGTCGCATGGGAGGGGTCGACCAGAGTGGGGGCGGAGCCGGAGCTGGTGCGGAGGGTCGGCGGCGCGTTTCTCCTCTCGCGCTCTCTCTCCTCGCGCTACGTGCGCCTCCTCTTCCTCTCGACACACCAGTTCGACGCGAGCAGAGCCCGCGCTGCAGTATACCCTACCGACCCGGCGCCCAAACCCAAGGACATAAAACAGGCGAGCAAGCGGCGGCTGCAGTCTGTGAGCGTGCCGGCCTGGCAGCCTAGACTCCGAAGACGGACTCTTATATTGCCAGAGGCGGAGTATCTCCCCACATCTCCCCGTCTCTCCCCCAGATCTCGAGGCCTAGATGCGGAGTATCTCCCCATATCTCCCCATATCTCCCCATATCTCGTGCCTAGACGCCGAAGCGGGACTCTTGCCTCCCAACCCGCGCTCGACCGCATTCCGCCGCATTCAGCTGCATTGGCCTCCCTCGTCCTCACGCGGTGCTCTGAGTACGCTGCACAGTGCCGTCCTCCCGCCCTCACGTCGGCGTCCTCAGCGCGCAGGACTGGGAGGCCTTCTCGGCCTCGCTGCTGCTGCACTGGACGAGTGCCGCCTCCGGGCTCGAGCTCGGGCGGAGCCGCACTCCATCACTAGTTGGTTTGCTACGATGACTCAGTGTGACCGCGTAGGCTCGAGCTCGACGGGTCCGTCACCAAGGGCTTGCGCGCCGTCCGAAACTCGCTGTCCGACCAGCGCGCGTCGGCGGTGCTCGGGTGGCCGCTGATGCAGCAGGCGGAGCTGGCCGCGAGATGCGCCGAGATGCGCCGAGATGCGCCGAGATGCGCCGAGATGCGCCGAGATGCGCCGAGATGCGCCGAGATGCGCCGAGATTCGCCCCGATGCGGTGTGCTACCCGTCGGTCGAGATCAGCCGAGATCTGCCGGGAGATCTGCCGAGATCTGCCGAGATCTGCCGAGATCTGCCGAGATGCGAGGCGCACTTGCGTGGGCAGCGGTGCCTCCCCCCCCACCCACCCCCCCACCCCCCCCACCCACCTTAGGCGGTGCTGGCCGCGCTGCCCACCGCTCTCGGCCCCGACCGACCGGCGGTCGCCCTGCGCTCAACGGTCGCCGCAGTGAGCTCGCGCATGCGGCCGCTGCTGCGCGCTGTCGTCGAGACGTGCGGCATCCTCTCCTCGCCCCACGAGCCTGCGGGACCTGTTTAATTAATAACTAAATTAAATTAATTAATTAATTAGGCATCCTCTCCTCGCCCCGCGAGCCGCGGGACCCGTTTAATTAGTAATTAAATCAATCAATGAATTAATTAGGCATCCTCTCCTCGCCCCGCGAGCTGCGGGACCTCTTTGGGTGGCTCGCCGACATCGCCGACACCCTCCGCGCGATGGGCCTCTCGCCCCCCGACGCGGCCGCCCTCCTCTCCTGCCTCACCCGCTGCCTGCCCGGACAGCAGGCGGCGGGCAGCACGCAGCCCGCGCCGCCCGCAGAGCCGCCCGAGCCGCCGGCGCCTCCGAGCCGCTGGTCGGCCATCGCGACGGTCCTCTCGTTGCAGAGCTCGGCCGAGAGCGCGCCCGCCGAGGCGGGGCAGGCCGAGGCGTGGCAGCGCTTCCTCGACGGCGCGACGCCGGTCATCTTGCGGCTCCTGGTGGTGTAGGGAGGGTACACTCGGTGCCACAGTGTTTTACAGATAGATTGTTTGTGAGCTGCAGCGCCTTTTCAGCAAAGCGTGTTCTTCCGAGCGTGCACTCCGTAAAGCGTAATGTCTAAAGGCTGTGGCAGCCTGTGGAGCACGATCCACGCGCCACCGCCAGGCGAAACGTCGTAGCTACCTTCATATGTCTTGTTTCCTTTTAACATCGAAGGCTAGCTCGAAAAAGAAATTTTCGAAGAGAACAATTAGCCATGCCGCGAGCCCGGGGCGCGATGCCTGGCGAGAAAAAGCGGCTCGTCGATTTTGTGGGGATGGGGGGGGGGTCCAAGGGCGCACTTCCTTAGGCCGAGCTGACACGCACCTGCCCGCTCTTGGTGCCGCTCGGATTGGCCTTCGTCAGGGCGAGTGCGCCGCCGATGCCGACGACGACGCCGACGACGAGAGACCCGATGGCGATGCCGACGACCGCACCGGCCTCGAGGCCCGACTCCAGAGTTGGGGTTCGACTGGGCCGGGGCGAGTTAAGGGGAAGATCGACGCCGCAATTCGAGGTAAACTGCCATGGACTGATGTGGCTGAGGCCGACTATCACCGGCGAGCAGGTTGGGAGGGCGGGCTGGCTGATAAGCCCCGACGTCCAAAACGAATGCTGCGACCGGCGGAAGTCGGCAGTGGGCTCGGCCATGCAAGACGTGAACATGGCGCAGGGGTCGAGGGCAGCACCGCCTAGGACGGTCGATTGGAAGACGATGGTGTGCCTTTCGGTGCGCGTGCTAGGTGCCCACGCAGTGATCCCATTCGTGCCCGGCACTCCGTCATAGAAAAAGTTGGTCCAGTATGTCTTCATGCTGGCGCCCATCTCATTTTGCTCGGCAGTGTAGGTGACGCTGCCGGCCGTCATTGGAATGATGTCCGTCATCACATTCTTGCCCGCCGAGTACAAGGACCAAGTGAACGTGAGATCGGCCATGTTTGGGACTCCCCAGCGTGCGATTGAGGGTTGCGCAGACGGTGACGGAGAAGGTTCGGGCGAGGGGAGAGGATCGGCAGGAGAGGGCGACGGCTCAAGTGGCGCCGGCCAGGCCTCATCCTGTATGGGGTCCGCGAACAAGTAGCGGAAGACGGTGCCTGCCGTGCGGGCATCCTGGTCCACCAGCTTGTCAATGACATTATTCAGATTGACCGAATAGTAGCCATCAGTGCTCGCCGCGACCATCTGCTGGTATGGATCTGCGATGGAGCTGTAGTAGCTCTCGATGGTTCCGATCGGGAGCGCAAGGCTGGCCGCCTGCAGATCACCGATGGTTGCAGTGTGGTTCAACTCATATGCGGCAAGGGGACCGTACAAGATGCGATACGCTGCCACACCCGCTGCGCCAGCCAGGTCTGGCGGCTCATCGTCCAAAAAGGGTGCGTAGTCGTCGATAGTCTGCCCAATGATGACGTTGACGTTAGCACCATTCTCCGCCTCGATGAGATCGAGCGGTGGCAAGGGGAGAGCGTAGCCATCGACCACAGGGTTGACTGCCAAGTCATGGCTGTATAGCAGAAATGCAGTGCCGTCTCCAAAATTGCTGTCGAATGTAACCACATCCACCAGATATGGGGACGTCTGGAGGAGTGCCGCAGTGGTGGAAAAGCGCAGGCATTCGGCGATGGACGTGAGCGTCCCCGTAGACGCTTCTAGCGATCCGTAATCTTCGGCGCAGCCTGCGATCCGAACCGTCTCTGCGCCAGCGGCGTCGCGGACCGCCTGCGAGAAGAAGGCACTTGGACCGCCCAAACTAACCGGGGATTGCATAATAATGGAGGAGAAGAGGGGTCCGCTCACGGCGTAGGTGCCGCTGTAGGACAGAGGTGACGCCAACAACAGGCCCGCGAGCGTGGCGCCCGTGCCCTGCCCGTGGACCGCAACCTTATTGGGGTCGCCTCCAAAACTTGCGATGTTGGCCTGGACCCAGCGCAGGGCATTGAGGACGTCGTGTAGCATCCAGTTCCCACTGTACGAGTTTCCGTCAATCCCATTGCGGAGCGCGGGATGCGACAGGCCACCTAGGACGCCGACTCGGTGGGTGACCCTGACGGTGACAACCGGCTTCTCGCCAGGTCCGGCGTACGTGTCGTCCTTGAGGAGAGATGGGTCCAAGGATCCTCCGAGCACGACCTGGACCGGGTATGACCCAGGCGCGGCGACGGTGGGCGACCCGGTCAGGTCGAGGGGGTTTGATGGCGCGATGATGTCGACGGCGAGGCAGTCTTCACTGCCTACTACTCCGGAGTCGCCGACGTGAAGGCACTGCTTGCTCTCGATTGTCGTCATAGGGAGAGCCCAGGTAGCCGGTGGCTGCGGCTCTTTGAAGCGGTTCGCTGCACCGGTGGTCGCGGCGACAGGAATGCCAAAGAACCGGTTGACGCCATCGTACCGCGAGTATTTACCAACGACCGAGCCGTACTGGGTTGCGGCGGTGACATCGACGCCGCCCGCGGTGACTGCGGTGACCTCGGCGGCGAAGGCGAGCAAGACGGTCGCCAGAATCGGCGCGGCCATCATCTCTAGCGAGCACCCGCGAAGGCGAACAGCGGGGGCGAGAGGCTAGAGGCTACTCGGCAACGGGTACGGTCGTAAAGCGGCGGGCGCGGCGCTTCCGGTAGGAACGAAATCGCGATGCGGATATGAATGAAAGAAAGAAAATTGTCTCCGAATTTCCCGGCGAATGCCCGCTGGCACACACCTCTCCTTAAAATCCCTGTGTGGTGGCGGCGTGCCGTCCTCCCATCCCTCCCTTGGGTTGTCTGTTTTCTTTCTTTCTTTCTTTCTGCCCGCTGGTAATTTTTTTTGAGCTAGCCTTCGATGTTATGAAACAACTCTCTCTCACAGCAGACAGACAGGCTCGACACAGGTGCGGACTGGCGCGTGCTAGCACTATCACAGGCAAACCGTCGGTGAAGCATGTCCGCATTTCTTTCTTTTTATGGTCCACTCCTGACTCCTTTCTCATTGCCGCGAGCCCGTATCGCGCGATAATGCGAGGAAAAGAAGAAAACATGCAGGCGGCGGCCACACTCCGGTCGCGCTTGGGGGAGCGGAAGGGAGGAACCTCTTTCGCCGCCACCACCACCCAGAGCGCTGCACGGGGCGGCATGCAAGCGCAGCACACTCAGACATGAGCATGCCGACTCCTCTCGCCGAGCGGCATGCCGCGGCATTCCAGCTCGCTGCTTTCGCGGCGCTGGTTTTGGTAGCCCTGATCGCACTGTTGCATCGCAGCGGGCTCAAGCGGCCGAGCGCAAGAATCGTGTCGCCGCCACCGCAGCTGAAGCGACCGAGCGCTGTCGCTCCAATCGAGCGCATCAGCTCCGCCGCATTCAATGGCGCGCACTGTGAGAAGGGTGTGCGAGCGTCGCGTGAGCGCGCCGACGCGCTTCTTCTGGCTCGGCAGGACACCTACATCGGCTACATGACGCTGCGCACAGAGCCAGGCCTGGTTTTCTTCGCACGGCTCGGTGCCGCGATCGTCGGCCCCGCAACCGGCAAACCGAGTCCGGGCTGTGCCGTGAGCGTGCTCTCAAGCAGTGAAACGATCATCCTAGACAATCGGGCTGCGCCAAAAGCACCCGCTCTCGCATCGCGACGAACCCAATACGCCTCGCCCGGCTCGAGAGAGTTTCTTCCTCAGCACACGCTCTTCGCGGCGGGAGGCGGAACGAGCGCGTCGGAGTGCGTCGAGGGGGGCGTCGGATCGTGCTGGCTCATCGCGGCGATGGCCTCGGTCGCCGCTCACCCGGGGGTCATCCGGCGCATGCTGCAGCGAGGCGGCAGCGCCGGAGCCTACGTGGTGACGCTGCACTCTCCGTTCGACGCTTCACTGCCGCCGACGAAGGTTGAGGTCGAAGAGACGCTGCCGGCGTGCTGCATTGGCGCCGGCGCTTGCGCTGCGGCCTATGCCAAGCCAGCCATGGACGACGACGCGCAGGCTGCCGCCGTTCTCTGGCCCTGCCTGGTGGAGAAGGCGTGCGCGGCGTCTGGGCTGTTTGCCGCCGGTGGGCAAGGGTACGAGGGGCTGAACGGAGGTGATCCTGCCAGGGCGCTGCAGGCGCTCACCGGCGTGGCGCCGTCGGTGTTCCGGCTCGCGGGCGAGGCGCCCGCCGCTGTGGACGCGACTCTGCAGTCCTTCCTAGAGACGGGCGAGCACGCGATCTGCTTGGCGTCTGCCATCTTCGATGCGCACGCGCAATCGGACACGGTCTCCCACGACGGGGTGCAGCAGGACCACTGCTACTCCCTCCTCGCCTCCCGTCCTCGTTCTGCGCGCCAGCGCTCTGCCTCGAGCGATCTGGATCGGGCAGAGGCCGACAAGCCGCCGCACGAGTTCCAGCTGCGCAACCCGTGGGGACGGCGGGGGCTCGCCCAACCCGGGGCGCCGTTGCGTGACACCTCGGATGGGCTGTTTTGGATGACGGCGGACACCATCGCGGAACTGTTTGTGGAGGGCTACGCCGTGAGAGTGTCGCAGGACCCCGAAGGTTAAATCAGACAGGTCCTTCACAGCTTCTCACACCACACCGATCATCAGACTCTCTCTCTCTCACTCACTCACACACACACTCACTCAACGTACGGTAAACCGAGAGACTCTCTCCGCAGGGTCCCAGGGAGCGCCGCAGAGGCTGAGACCGCACCCGGCCCCAGCGGCCCCACGTGCACAATGCTGTGGGGTGTGGGCCCTTACCCGCGCATCAGGCGGTCGAGGGCCCCATTGATGTCTCCGCCAGAGGCCGCCAGCGCCCGCAGCACCGCCACCGAGTCGAGGTAACCCATGCTCAGCAGCTGCTCGACTTGCTGACGGTACCTCACAGCTGGAGGGGGCGCCGGCCCGAGAGCTGGCGCCAGCCTCGGCGGCGGCGCCGGGGCGGGCGCTGCGGCGAGGGTGCTCACGGCGCGTAGAGCGGCACCTGCCCCCGCCTGCCCCCTCCCTGCCGCCTGCCCCCTCCCTGCCGCCTGCCCCCGTGTTTTTCTTTCTCGGTGAGCTACTGTCAACCCATAACGCGCTGGTGTCCAGTCCGAGCCTGACTGTTCTTCACCTTCCTACCTACCTACCTAGCTACTAGTTGCGCCAGTCCTGAGAGGATTGTGACAGGTGGATTTTTGTGCCCTGGTGCGAATTCCCTGGTGCCTAGGGTTGCCTAACGTTAAGAGCTGAACAGTGTTGCTAGTGTGTTAACAGTAACAACAGAACAACAGTGGGCCCCCCCAACAACAGTAGCTAACGTTAGGCCGGCTGAACAACAATAAGGAAGGCCTGGCAGTGACCCACGACGACCTCCAGTGTCCAGTGCGGGTAATACCCGAAAATACCCGGGAAATTCGGGGGGAAAACCCAGAGGTATTTTCGGGTTTTACCCGGGTTTTTTGCCGTTTTCTGCTTGCTGGCCGCTGAACAACAGTAACAACAGTAACAAACAGTAACAGCTTGGGCTGGGGAGAACACTTGAACAACGTTGAGGATTTCAGCCAACAATAGCGCAACTGTTAGGCCCCAAATTAACGTTAGGCAACCCTACTGGTGCCCGGGTAGCGGCCGGAAGCGGGAAAAAATGACCCGTACTCGTTCCGTTCTGTCGTGTGGTGGCTAGCTGCGTAAAAAGAAATACGAAAAGCCGGCGTGTAGCACTAGCAGGTCACTCACCTCACCTGCAGATCACCAGAGTCGAGGTACCCACTCAGACATCGCGTGGAATCATCCACATCATCACCTCCTCGCGACAGTACGGGCACCGACGGTCACGCTCCATGATCCTGGCGGAGCAGTCGGCGCAAGCGCAGCGGTGCCCACAAGGCACCGCGATGTGCGACTTTGGCCGGGTGAAGCAAATTATGCATGTCGACTCGCCGCCGAGGGTCGACTCGGGCACGGCCGGGCGGCCAGTATCAAAGTTGGCCTCCGACAGAGGCACGGCCGCGAGGGGTGCGACGTCCTCCTCGCCCTCGCCCTCGCCCTCATCCCTCGCGCGCTCCGCCACTACCTCCGCCGCTGCCGCTGCCTCTGCCTTTGCCTCCGCCTCTGCTGCTGCCGCTACCTCTGCCGCAGCCCGCCGCTCCTGCTCGCGCGGCCCCCTCGCCGTCTCCGCCCTCGCCGTCTCCGCCCTCGCACGCTGCTCCTCTCGCTCTGCGCTCACCGCCTGCTGCGCAGCCGCCGCCTCCCAAGATGGCCGCGCCGTTCTAGCGACCCGCCGCCGACGAGGCTCCGCAATGTGCCGGTGGCATTGGCCGGTGCCGTTGGCCTTCTCTGGCCGTCCCTGTCGCCCTGGCCGCTGCCGTTGGCCTCGCTCCGGCTCCCGCGCCCCGCGTCGCCAAGAAATCGCCCACGCCCACAAGGAGCGAAGCCACCGGGCCACGGCTTCTAGCATTAACCGGACAAACTGCTGCGTCACCTCCAGCGCGGTTCGCCTTAACCCCCGCCGTCGCGCCGGCGCGTGCTGGCGCCTCCGGTAGGACGGGAGAAGCAGCAACGCGCTGCCGACTAAGCCCAGAGTGCACAGGACGATGAGGAAGCTCCGCGTCACTGAGGAGGCGAGCGCGCCCTCGGTGTTCGTGCCCGTCCCCTTCTTCCTCTTGCCCGCGTGCTCCTCGATAGCGCGCGCGCACTCGGTGTGGCCGTTATCCTTCGCGAGCATCAGCGCCGTCTTGCCGTTAATTCCGCGCAGTGTCGTGTCTGCTCCCGCCCGCAGCAGGCGTTGCACGACGGCGGGCTGATTAAAGCCGGTCGCGATTATCAGCGCGGTGTAGCCCACGCGGCTCTGCAGTTCGATATCCGCGCCGCGCTGCAGTAGCAGGTCGACCACTCGCTCGTGGCCTAGGCCGGCGGCGCCCATGAGCGCGGTGCCGCCATTGCTGTCCTGCATGTCGATCTCCGCACCGCGCTGCAGCAGCAGGTCGACCACCCGCTCGTGGCCGCTGATGGCGGCGACCTGCAGCAACGTGAAGCCCGCACGCCTCCTCGTAAGCAACGCATTCGCCCTGTGCGAGAGCTGCGAGAGAACGTTGTAAAATTCTTCTCAAAAAATAACGGCGGGTTCGCGCCGGCGCGAAACGACCGCCCGCTCCAACTGCTGCTGCTCAGACGGAAATTGCGGCACGGCATGACGGGTGACGCCGATGCCCTCCTCCGCGAGTACCGCCGGGCAAACCCTGGGCGTGCAGGCACGGCAGGCGGCCGCAGGCTGCATGACGGCAGCCCGTGCTCTGAGCGAGCAGCATGGGACTTCGAGGATTTGGAGTGGGCGGAGCAGCAATTGGCGCACACCAGCCTGCTGGCGGAGCGGCCTGTGATTAGGGCGGCCAAAACTGCCTCGATCTCTGAGCTCACCAAGCTCGAGGGTTGCTTTCGGGCGGTCCAGGCCAGCCTCTCTCGAGAGCGAGCAGCAATCACAACGCTGCAGACGGCGCTACAAAATGCTGGCATCGAGAGCAGTAGTGGCGCGCAGCTCATTAAACGTGGCGACACTCCAGCCACTGTCTCTGTCTGCCCTGAAGCCGGCCCAACGACAGCCTCCGCGCTGCAGGACGCCATGCTGCGCCGCATTGCTTTACTGCGCGCCCAGTTACTGCAATCTCAGGAGGAGCTCGAAGCGACAACCCTTTCGCGTGCAGCGCTCGAAGAGCTGGCGAGCGGCGCAGGCGTTGTGGTCGAAAGCGAGACTGCTGACTCTGCATCAGCGATCCGGCCTGAGGCGATGCTCGCGCAGTTGGCACGGCTGAATGGAGCGTTGCGAGAGGCCACGCGCGGTAGGAAAGATGGGGAGAGGGGAAAAGGCCACCGTAATGTAGTGCGCTCTTTCTCCAAGCCACCCGACGTTCCAATCAGCGTGTTTGCCGACGGCTTCATGCTGTTCCGAGGCCCGTTTCGAAAGTTCGAGAGCGACGAGGCGAGGATGTTTGCCGCGCAGGTGATGTCGGGCATGATGCCCCACGAGCTAAACCAGCGGTTCCCGGATGGCTGTCTCTTTGAAATCCATGACGTTTGCCATCAGACTCACGCTCAGGCGCATGCGTTGGCTGTCGAGCGCCAACGGCCTTGCGGAGGTGGCTCCGCTAGAGTGGTTGGCGTCGATGACATGGCTGGTGCGGCGCCACTTCTCGCTCCTCAGCGGGCAGAGGACCTGCTCCGCCGCCTGCCCCAGACCGTGGTGCGAACGGGAGGCACCGTCGTCCCAGTGCGGTCAGAGCTCGCGCAAGTCCTCGGTGTGCCCCTGGCGCCGACGCCAGTCCCTCAAGACGGCTCGTCGCCGAGCGATGCTCCGGAACCGGATGACATGCGTGCCGCCCGACTGCGGCGGTTTGCGGGTGTGTCGTCTGTCTGACGATTCGACAGTTTGCCAGCGGCTTTTGTATTTCACCGTACTGTCATACACACAAATACGTCTTACCTCCCCGCCGGCTCCCCGTACAGCGCGTACCGCAGAAGCGCCCCGCCGACCAGGGCACCGTACAGCAAATAGAGTCCCGCCCGCCGCGACCCGCCCACCGCCCCGCACAACCTCCTCCGCCGCTCCGCGCCGACGCCGCCGACGCCGACCACGACGCCACCGCCCACCTCTGGCGGCATCGGCTGCTCTGCCGTCGTCCACGGGTCTAGGCAGAGCTCCGCAATGCTGGCGCGGTCGCTGGGCGCGAGCTGCAGCATGGCGTCGATGAGCTGGCGCGCCTCGAGGGAGAGGTGGTCTGGGAGGGAGTAGTTGCGGCTCAGCACGGCCGCCACCAGCCCCTCTCGCGACCCACCCGGAAAGGGCTGACAGCCAGCGAGCAGCTCGTACAGCGTCACGCCTAGGAAGAGAGTAGGAAGTGTCTAGGAAGTGTCTAGGAAGTGTCTAGGAAGTGTCTAGGAAGTGTCTAGGAAGTGTCTTGCAGGTGTCTTGGAAGTGTCTTGCAGGTGTCTTGGAAGTGTGTCGTACAGCGTCACGCCTGAGCAAGAAGGCTGGCGTCGAGGAGTCAAGAAGAGGGCGCCGCGCGGGGGGAGAGGGGGAGGGGGGAGGGGGGGGGGGGGGGGGGGAAGAGGCTTTCAACGGCCCCCCCAACGACCCCCCCTCCCACGGTGGGCCCAGCTTCCCGCGGCCCCAGGCGTGCTCCGAGTTGTACCCGGTCAGCTGCTCGGGCGACGAGTACGCCGGAGTCCCGTGCAGCACCGACGCGGGCGGCGCCTCCACCTCCCGCGCCATCCCCCAGTCCACCAGCACAGCCCTGCTCCCGTCGGCGCCGGCGCCCTCTTGCAACCGCACGTTGGCCGGCTTGACGTCGCAGTGCAGCAGGCCGCGGCCGTGCGCGTGCCGGAGCGCGCCGAGCAAGTCGCGGAAGAAGATGCGCGCCGCCGGCTCTCCGAGGCGCCCCCCTGGTCACAGCTGGGGGTGTGAAGAGGCGCCGTGCACAGAACCCTCGCAAACCTAGTACGAGAGAGCCGAGAGTGCCTGGGCGACGCCCTGGGGAAGTGTCTGGGAAGTGCCTCTAGGAAGTGTCTAGGAAGTGTCTAGGAAG